AAATTTAAATGCCTCAAATTCCAATTCTATCAATAAAATAATACTCTAGAATATTTATTACACTACTAACAATCTCAAAACCATATTTATTCAACATAAATTCATCCCTCTTCCAAATCCTAAATTTTCTACCACTACAAATCAGAAACCAAAGAGAAAAGATGACTAAGAAAAATGTTTAGAACACTTACCTAATTTTAAAATACTTAAAATCTCATATAAAGTATCCTATTATGGAACTTCACCTTCTAAATCAGTCAGCCTCTCCATCAGCGTCACTCGCTCTCTCGCTCTCTCTCTGTCTCAGCTCGCGTACAGGGAAGAAATAAAGAAACGAAGAAAAGAGGGTGGTTTTATAAAAAAAATACTGCAGGTCCCACATATTTTTTTTATTGTTTCCTCTTTCTCTCTCTTCTTTTTTTTATATATATGTACACACATTACACGAAAGCGTCCTCCTCCCTATTTTTTTTTATATATATGTAATCATGGCAGTCGAAAGCATCTCTTCTCTTCTTTCTTTTTTTTTCTCATACCTTTTCTTTTTAATAATAATAATAATAATAATAATAATTTAATATTTTTTAATTAATTAATTAATTTTTTTTAATTTTAATTAGAATTATATTTAAATTTAATAATCATCTCCTACTAATTTGCTCACCTCTAAATATTTTTTAAAATTTCTATTAATCTAAATTAACTATTAAAATTTAAATTGGGATGTTACAAAATTCATCCTCCATTCAAACCCACAATTAAAACTTCTTTAAAATCTTCTGCTGAAAAAAACTCCTTTAAAATCTCTGGTTTTTAGGCCTGATTTCCGTTAATAGACCTTTTAGGATCTTAGGCACTGTTTTGAAAACTAAACCAGACAGTCGGATCGTCGACCGGCCACGTTTTCGGTCTAGTTCATGGGAAAAAATTATTTTAGGAGTTGAGCTGAGTTGAGCCGTTTCAAACCAGCAGTCGGACTGGGAAGCGGAATCAAGCTGGGAATCGGATCCGATTTTCAAAAACCGGGCTATTCCAAAAAAACTTTTTTAAATTTTTTATCAAATTTTTTTAAAAAAATGACTAATTTTTTAATCATTTGATATTATGTTGTATCATGTAGTTTGTTAAGTCATGATAAACTTAAAATATTTGATTTTTTTTAAGTTAAATAGCAATTTCATATGTATTTCTTATATTTAAATTATTATATACATATATAATTTTTTAAATTTAATTATTACGTCACCAGTTGGTTGGTCCAACTGGTTGAACCGTGTGAACCATAAACCGCTGACTTTTTCGGTTCAATATCCAGTCTGGTTCTGAAAACATACTCTTAAGGACCAGATTGACAAGGACTGATGATTTTTATTTTTATAGAAACTTAAATGTAAAGATTTTTTTCTTTAATTACGTAGCCAACCATATCCCCACAAGGAAAAAAAAAAAAATCCCACGCACATGCATTTCACGCACATTCAACATGCATCACACAACAATGAACAACCCACAATCTCATCTTTTTGATTGGTTTAGTTTTATTTTCTATCTATTTCAATTTTAATTTATTTGAAGCTAAAGCAAGACGGCTTAAAAACAATATTTACTTTATATATCTCCAACTTTGAAAGGGTTAAACGGTAATTTTATCATTAATTTATAAGTCTAGAAGTGTTTGGAACTCTAAACTCACTTTTTGTATAATGTTGTTCCCCTTCAATTTTTAAAAATAATATGATGTCACCTCTATCATGATAAAAATTAATTTTGACCTTTAGTTAATTAGAAAATTTTAAATGATGATATCAAAAATTATAAAAAGAATCCAAAATTACATAGACGAACCCAAAAAATTATAAAGAAACCAATAAAATTTCATAAAAAGGATTAAAAATGTGTTTGAAAAACTAAGAAACTACATTAAAAATCTTGAAAGAATCACATTCACGATCCTTAGACAAGGAAAAATGACAATAAGAGCTCAGAATAACAAAAAATTTAGCATGTACAACTGAATAACTAAACCTTATTCCCTCTGTTAAAAAATATAAGACTTATTTTGAAGAGGTGAATGTTAAAAAATATAGGGCATTTTTAATCTCTCGAGGTGTAATTATTACCTTATTTTGAAAAGTACTCCTATTGATAAATGACTTTATATTTATTGTAAGGTGTTCACTTGGGGTAAATATGAAAATATAAGGTTAGTTTGAAAGTAAGTAATTACTTTATTAAAAATAAAATTTAATTAAAAATATTTTATATTTTTTTAGTAGAAGAAGTATCTTGTATATGGCTGAACTTATATTTTTTTGGACCTTCATTCTCATTTTTTTCTCATTCAGGAGGATTCTCCCTTGTGTCTTTCAATACCCATACCTTACCCCCATTCAATCAATAAATAGGCACCTTACTATTGCAATAATTTGAAGATACTCTTCGCTTCTATAATGTAGCTACTAGTTAGGGGCCCACTTTTGTGCTGTGAGACTCACAAATCGTTAACGTATTTTCAAGAATTTTTTTTTTTTACATATCTTCAAATATCTTTTATATTTTTTAAAAGTCGTTATCAGTAATTTTTAAAAGTTTTCAATTTTTTTTCCACATTTCTTCCGTTAGCTTCAATTTCTTCATCACTAATTGGAGCTACTTGCAAAAAATAAAAAATTCTTAAACATACATTTTGACTTTTGAAGATTAATGAAGATTCTTGAAAAAAATGGTAACTTTAAAAAATTATTAATGATTTTTAAAGAAATGTGGAAGATAATTAAAGTTGCTCGCAATTTTTTTTAGAGTTACATTGAAGACTTTTGCAAATTACTGAAGACTTTTTAAGAAAATTGGAAAACTCTTAAAAATTACTGAATACTTTAGAAGAAATGCAAGATGATATGATTGAAGTTAGTTGAAATTTTTTTTCTTAAAGATACATTAAAAACTTCTGAAGAGATGCGAATGATTATTGAGAAGACACTACCAAAGACCTTTGAAGATATACTATAGAAAAAATATTTAAATAGAAAGTAAGAGTAGCGTGTTAAAATATTGGCATGAATCCCATTATACAAATAAAAGTAAGGATGGGTTGTCAACACAATGTGATTGGATTAGACCTATTACATTTTGAAAAAAGTGCTTGAGATTTTGTAAAACAGATTTATTTATAAATAAGTTTTATAAAATTTAAAAACTACAACCTTTTGAAATTTAAATATAATTTGAAATTACAGTATAAAAATAATAGTATCCTTACTTATTAGATTGCAATGACCAAGATGCCCCTCTCCTTCAATTAAACCTCATGCATGATTTGTTTGTTCAAAATAGTTGTGTTCACATTGATGATCGCTCTGCTGTGTTCTTCTTTTTCTTTTTCTTCTTCTTCGTCATGATATTATGATTGACACTATCTCTACCTTGTTCTTCCTCGTAACTCTTTCATTATCACAACCGAATGATCGACACCGCTTGTCCTTTTTCTTAAACTTGTAGTTTTGTCGTTCAAAAACATCGTGTGTCTACACTAAGTGGATTTGGTTTCGGTACATCCTAATCAAAATTTGAATGGTATAAATTTAAAGTATTACTATATATTTTTATTTTATATTTATTAAAATAAAAATTTATAAAAATTATAAAGTAATTTTAATAAATTTTTTATTTTTAATTTGAATGGTATAATTAATATTAAAATTTTTATAATTGCTATATATTAACTATTTAGACGTATTTTACACAATTCAAATTTAATTCAATGTTAATTTAATTTGAATTGTGCAAAGTATACATGAATAGTTAATATACTTCAATTATAAAAATTTTCATATTAAATATATAATAATACTTTAAATATAATATTTTAGCAAAATCTAGATGGTCTAGCTTATCACTGTGATGAGCACCAATCATGCTAAGAGCTTGATTGGATTGAACAATTAATTAATTTTTTAGGCTAAATAATTGATTTCAATAGAATTTACCCAAACAGCCAAAAATTCAATTAATTGATTATTGAGGGAAGAATGATATTTTATCATAAGTTGAGGGAGATTGCTTCTATAGTTCAATTTTATCATTAGAGCTTTAATTATTTGTCAGACTCTCACACCTGCTAAAATTACCCTTGTGTTATTACAGGTTAATCCTTTCTCTGCCATCTCTTGTCTCTAATTCTAATTTTGATTTTATGTGTTATGAAAGGGAAGATCAAATAGAGTATGAGGATCAGGAAGATTATTACATTGATGAATATTCATCCTTATCATGATCCATTACATCTTCATTAGATAAGGCTCATATCTATGATGTTATTAGAGATTAACTTGTATGTTATTATTTTAATTAGTTATTATAAAATTGTTGGCATTTAAAAATTAAATTTTTTTCTTCTATTAAATTTATTTAAACTAAAATATATTGAGTTATTTATTTATGTAAATTAAATTGTTAATATTAATATAATTTAAATTTTTATAATTAATCATATATATAATTTGAATAATATATTTTACTTCTTAAATAAAAATTAAAAAATTTAATAAAATTAGATACAAATTTATCAATAATTTAATTTTAAAAAGCAATGTCATTTATAATAATTTGTACAGTTAAAATTAAATCTGATAAAATTATTCAAACATCTTCAATTCTGTTAAAATTAATTTTAGAAAAATAGTACCCAAACAGACTGTTTTATAACATAATCAATTATAATTAAAATTAATTATATTAATCAATTATCCTTAATTAAAATTTAAATCGGCTCTAAGTAATCTAACATGGCACTAATTTTAATTAATGCTGTTGAAAAGACTTAGGTGGTAGTGGCATCCTTACAAGTGTCGGTCAAGTAAGTTTGATGCTGGATCTGTTAAGATTAGATTTAACTCTTGAGTTATATATATATATACATAGATGATAAATGATTTGTGATCGGCGCTTTCAGCTTTGTAATTCCGGACGTGGTCCGCTTCCTCTATTTTGTCTTACATGACATTGTTTTTAAGCTCTCTGCCAAACCAACCAGTCCCTAAGATTCTCTCGTGACAGGGCTTCCTGCATTCAGTAGCAATAAGCCTTCCAATCACCCATGGACTTCTTTGTCTTTACTCTATCCATTTTCGTCTTTTGCTCCTCTTCTGCTTCGTTTACGTCCATAGAAGGTAATGAATCACCTACCCATATTTTAAACGAGGCCATAACTTCTATATATATATATGTACGTATTGATGATGATTTGTGCTCTGTAGCTTCAGCTCATTTTATCAAACAGTATGGCGATGAGAAACAGTGTGGTCTGCTTCTTTTTTTTCGTCTTACTTCACATTTTCTTGAGCGCCCTGCCAACCCAATCAGCCCCTGAAACTGCTCTCGTGACAGAGCTTCCTGGATTCAATGGCACTATACCTTCCAAGCACTACGCCGGGTACAGTTTGACTTCATCCATTTTAGACTTTTATTCCCGCTTTCGAGTTAGCCATTTCAGATTGTCACTTGAAATTACACTTGGGCTTTTATTTTGTTTTATTTTTCATTGACTAATGGAGGATTTGCCTGTGTCTCGTATTTTTTTAAATGTTGAAGCTACGTGACGGTGGATGAAAGTCAAGGGAGGAACCTGTATTACTATTTTGCTGAATCAGAAGGCAATCCATCTGAGGATCCAGTGGTTTTATGGCTCAACGGTGGACCAGGGTGCTCTAGCTTCGATGGGTTCGTGTATGAACATGGTAATAATTCATTTCCTTGATCGGCCTTTTAGTTTTGATAATTTTGTTTTTGTGAGACCTTGCAGAATTGGAGTTCGGAAAACATTCTGCACTGTATTAAACCGTTATTACTGTGTCTGTGTTTTCCTTTTTTTATTGTAGGGACTATTTTAGGCTAGTTTGTTTCTCAATCAGGACACCAAGATGTGAATTCATATTTCAATTTTCAAGTATTTTCTTTTTTTAATTTGGATTTTGACCAATTGAACCCAGTAGTAGCTAGCTAGATTGAAGAATCTAATTATCCTTTAGCATTATACCTTGTCCCTGGCTTTCTTAAACAGTTAAAAGATGGTAATTGCCCTACTATCTTTTCTGTACATCCATCAGAAATCAAAATTACCAACTAACAGCAAATAATTCTGTTGCTTCTGTATTTTCTCAAACTATACTTTTTTCTTTGAAAAATAAAATTCAATAGAATAACATGCTCGATTTATTATTGTTGAATTGTGACTTGACTAATTCACAGTACATTTCAGGTCCTTTCAATTTTGAAAAGGCCAAAACCCGAGGATCCATGCCCACATTGCACCTCAATCCTTACAGCTGGTCCAAGGTCTAAACATTTTTAACCTTTGTTTGATTCAGGGTTTATGTTTGAAAGAGAAGGCCAATTTTTTTGCTTGGTGATATTTCAGGATGAGTGTATAACTCTCTTCCTTTCTCAGAGTCTTCTTACTGATCTGTGCATGCATTGTTTTGCTTTGCATTATAGGTTTCCAACATCATATATTTGGATTCTCCAACTGGTGTGGGGTTTTCTTACTCTAAAAATTCATTTGATTATCCAACTGGAGACCTAAGGACTGCTTCAGAGTCACACACCTTTCTCCTTAAGGTAGCTGGTGAAACAATGTAATATCTGAGTCAATGGCTCTGTATGCTTTCCAGGTTCCTTACATTCTCTACCTTGATCTTGAACAAAAACTAGTGGTTTGAACTCTATCCTGAGTTCCTTTCTAATCCATTCTTCATCGCTGGGGAGTCATATGCCGGAATATATGTACCTACACTAGCTTATGAAGTAGCAAAAGGTAACAAGTTTTCTCATGAATTTCTTGTTTTAACATGAGTTGGAATCATAACTGAGGTTCTCCTATTATTTTGTTTTGGAAAATCTTTCATAGGAATTGAAGCTGGTACAAAGCCCTACCTGAATTTCAAGGTCTTTATCTGTAAGTTAATATTTTGCTTTCAAGCTTGTAGCTGCAAACTGAAGTCATTATTTGCAGGGATATTTGGTAGGAAATGGCTGTGCAGATGATCAATTTGATGGCAATGCTCTTGTTCCATTTGCCCATGGGATGGGTCTTATCTCAGATGAATTGTATGAGGTGATCGTAAATCCTAGATCATAGCAAATTCACTAAGTGGCTTGTCATAATTATCACATAAAAAATTACTAATTTAATTTTAAATCATATTTATGGAATATTGTTGGTGAAAACCAATCATAGGTCTTTGCTTAACAAATTTAGCTTGAGTCAAATTGGTCCTTCAGATGGCATTTGAGCCCTCATAACCAAATGATTATGATTTTGATCTTTGCCACTACTATTTATATAATTAAAATTAAATTTTAAGATTAATTCAAATTAAATTTGCGCTTTGTTCACCTGCAAGCTCAAAGGGTTTTCATGTAACTGTCATGTTAGAGATATTAGTAAAAATCAATGCTAGGCCTTCCCTTGACAGCTTACTTTTGGTTGATTTGGTCATTGGCAAAATATGAATGATCTGAGAGCAAGTTTGGAACTGCCTCGCATAAACTTTTATTTTTATTCTTTCAATCAACACACACACACAAATCTACTGAAGTTGTCTTGTTGCCTGAATATGTTTTATAAATTTAATGGTGCGTGACTTCATATGCAGGAGACAAGATATGTGTGCAATGGTAATTACTATAATCCAGTGAATGACATTTGTCAAAAATTGATAGACAAAGTTAATGAGGTAATCTAACTGTACAATCCAATTCTTTTAGGAAATGAGCCAAGATGAGTTAGGCTCTCATTCTTGATTCTTAATTATATAGACGATTGATGGGATAAACATATACAACACTCTAGAACCATGCTATCATGGGCAAGAGACAGTAGAGGCTACAATATCCTCTATTAGGCTGCCGACCAGCTTCAAGCAGTTAGGCGCGACCAAGAGACCTCTACCAGTGAGAAAAAGAATGTTTGGTCGTTCTTGGCCCCTTAGAGCCCCTGTGAAAGATGGAATTGTACCCACTTGGCCGGAACTTAGCAGTAGCACCAGCATTCCATGCACTGTAGGTTGCTCTGTCTGATGGTTCATGATCATTTTATAATTAGTTCTCTGCTTCCAATTGATTTTCATTGTTAGAATCTCTATAACCTAAATATGGATGTGTTTTTCTTGGTAGTTTCCCTGGATATGATGTTTTATATACTTAAAACTACTAATTGATGCAAATTTAGTATCAACTTATTAGGTGTTCAAGCAAAGTTGGATATGCTGTACATTCCTTAGTCTCAAATTGATTATTGTATTTGTTGTATAGTCTTTTACTTATTATATAGCATAAGTATCCTTACACTTTCCAAAGTATTCTCTTTATTAAGTCTCTTCATGGGATGAGGAAAAGAAAGTCCTGACATAGAGAATGTGCTCAAGATAGTTATAGAAACTTGACTCCTAAAGACACACTATTGAACGCATTCTTTATCATGCTCTGAACCTAATTGATTCAAGATGATACCTTCTCATCAGTGTTGTTCACATAAGAATTGAAAAACTAGGTTAGGGACAATTGTAATTTGTGGTTGACTGAGATTAAAGCAACGTTCGGCTGGTGCTATTTTTCCTTTGATATCTTTTAATTTTGTTGTAATTTGAAAGAAAATTTTATCACATCTATTTTCCACTTTGAGAGTAGTATCTTTTTTCTCTCAATTGTATCATATCAGCTATCACCAAGAGTCACTATTTACATGATATGATCACCATGAAGTTTACATATAGATGTATTGCTGGTATCTTGAAATGTTCAGAACATAACAAGTTCTAATTTTATCTTCAGGATGATGAGGTTGCAACCACATGGCTGAACAATGCTACAGTTAGGAAAGCAATTCATACTGCATCGGTGAGATTTTCTTCCATCATTTTTTTTTAAAATCCGAACAGTGAAATGATAGCTCTGGTTTGTGAACCAACACTGGATTATTGAACTGCAGTGACCAAAGGATAAGTATATTTTGGTTCAATTCTTGTTAGAGGAACCTATCTAACATTGAAAAGTTGTTTTACCCAAGAAGAAAGAAAAACTCTGATTTGTGATCTTTGTGATGTATAATAGGAAAGTGATGTCAAAACTTGGACCATATGCACGGACAATATCGCACCTTACGTTCATGATGCTGGAAGCATGCTCAAATTCCACTGGCTTCTGACATCCAAAGGATATCGAGCACTTATATACAGGTACGTTTTTAATTTAAATATCATTCATACTTGAACCTCCTAGTTGATATCCTCTTCTCTTGAGTTGAACATACGCCTTTTATATTTGTTGATTTCCTAAAGGTTAAATAACAATATGATCCCTAAATTATAAGCCAAGGGACCTCTAGAGTACTAAATTTGTTTTATGTGCAGTGTCCCCCTCAACTTTTGAAATAGTATAATATAGTCATTATTATTAATAAAAGTTAACTTTAATTATTAATTAATTATAAAAGGACCGAAAATGATCTAAAAAGACACATACTTTTTGTTCCTTTTAGTGTAACTTGTTGGATCATTCTTGGTAAATTTTGGGTCTTTTTCTGTAATTTTCCTAGTCATTTTCTGTCATTTTATTAACTAATAATTAAAGTAAATTTTTGTTAATGATAGGGGCTACATAACTACATTGGATCGTTTTTTAAAAGTTGAGAGAAAAAATTACATAAAAAAGAAGAGTTTAGGGTCCTAGATACTTCTAAAACTATAATTTAAAAATTAAATTGTGCTTTAACTCTTTCATGAAAAGTTTCAAATGATCTTTTGAACCAATGTTTGTTTAGTGTTTTAAGCTTTTTGGTAATTGACTACTACAAGTTTAGTAAATAATGAGTCACATGATTTATGAGTTATCAACAGTGCAGCTTGTTATAGGAGATGACGATTATGTTCCAAAAAAAAATTAAAGATAATTAAATTCTTGACAAAATTCTCTGAAAAATAAATTATAAATATTGATTCAAACAATTATAAATTTTGAAGTTTCATTATAAATAAAATATTTTAAATCTAAATGTAACTCTTAGTTTATAATTGACATTCTTGTTTGCAATTATTTAAATTAATATTTACAATTTATTTTTTTAAAAAAATTTGTTGACAAACTAATTGTCGTTGGTTTCTTTTTTAGTAATTTAATGTGATTCTTTTTTTTTAATTAACAATGTGAATTTTTCCTTCGTTATAAGTTTTATATATAGATTTGATTAATGTTTCACAAGGAATAATTACTTAAAACACTGACGGATATGGGGGCACTTGCCTCTACTAACAAAAAAACTAGCATTACAAATAGATGTTATGTATGAAAAAATATTACACATAATCTTCCTAAAATTTTCACCTGTCCCCTCTAAACAATTTCATTTGTCCCGAATCCGAAAATTTTTGCTAATCCCTTTTTTCAAAAAAAAAAAAAAAGAAACATATACAATTAAAAAATATTATTTTCTCTTATATTGATTATAAACATGTACAGTTTCTTTAGTTATTAATTTTAATATGTGTCATTTTTATATTAATTTAATAAATATTTAAAATTATAATTTTATAACATGTTCAATGCCATGCATATTCTTTAACAGTTCAAAAACTAGAAATTCTTCCATAGTCCAATTCAACTGACATGTCTGTACGTAGTACATCTCAAGTTCTTTGCGGAACAGTCTGTTGCTATAAGAATCGGCCATTACTGCAAATGATCCACATGATTCTTGTTATGTATTCGGCTCATTTTGTTGTTCATTGATTATTGTACTGTAAAATTCATGCTTTTGACAGTGGGGATCATGATATGTGTGTTCCATTCACTGGAACCCAAGCATGGACTAGCTCAATGGGATACAGAGTTGTGGATGAATGGAGGCCATGGATAGTCAATAATCAAGTTGCTGGGTACTTCTAATACCATTTCCTTCTTCTCTTGCTTTAGTGAATGAATTTTCAAATAAATAGTTCAGGAAACAGAAGTAACAGTCTGTGGGAGAAAAAAATCGTATAGTAGGTGCTAGGCATGCGAGAGATTAAAATTGTTGACTTGACTTCTATTAAAAAAAAGAAAAATAAAGGATTCCTGGGTCTCTTATTGCAGTTTCCCCATATTCTTAAGACACTTTTATCATTTTTATTATTTTAAGACATTTTTATGAACAAATTTTAATAAGGACTTAGTTTTAGTTAAAACTTATGAAATTTTAACGTACACATGGGGATTGAAATGAAATTTAAAAACCGATTGAAATGATTTTATTATCTTCAGTGAAGCTAGGTATATGAATAACTCATATAGAGAAATTAACAACTAATATATAGGAAATGAACAACTGAAGTAAGTGAAATTTGCAACTCTTATTAACAGTATAACACTATCATAAATATAAACAAGTGAATTTAGGTACATAAACAATTCATGTAGAGAAAATAAACAATTAATATAGGTGGAATGAGAATTGTAAATTTATAGTAGTATTATGCTTTTAATGAGAGTTATAAGTTTCATTTATACCCATTATTCATTTTTCATATATCAGTTGTTAAATTTCCTTACACAAATTGTTCATGCACCTAGCTTCATAGGAACAATAAAATCATTTCAATCAACTTTTTAATTTCATTTTAGTCCCTAACATATGCAGTGAAATTTTAAAATTTTAAAAACTTCGACTGAAATTGAATTGAGTCAAATGTCTTTAATGAAATCTTCTTCATTTTTATCTCGGGATAGATTTGGGCCACGAAATTTACATTTTTGTTGCAAAGACTTTGTTTACAATTTGGAGAACTCTTCCTATGCTATTCATACCATATCAGTTTATGCTTTTTTCACAATACAATAAGAATAATCTTGACCTATGATTTAGCTTAACATCCTGTATTTGTTGCAGTTATATCCAAGGATATGAGAAAAATCTCACTTTTATGACCATAAAGGTTAGTACACTAGAAAGTTTGAGCAAAATTACTTGAAAAACAACTTAATCTTGTGTCTTGAATCAATTTGGAAATGGTGCGTGCAGGGAGCTGGGCATACAGTTCCAGAATATAAGCCACAAGAGTCACTATATTTCTATAAGCGCTTTTTGGATGGATTGCCAATATGAAAGAAAGATGAAGGCCGTGTTTGAAAACATGTTTTTTTTTTTTTTTTTTGCAATTTTCAAAATAAAGCTACTCTTATGTTGATACCAATGGATCTCCAAACACAATAAAAACAGACCTGCATTTTCTGAATAATGTGTTCCAGGTGTTTGCAGAGTGGCTATTAATCTGTACTTTATGGGGATATTAAAAGTGTTTCAGGGTGTTCGCAGAACTGTTATTGTTGTTTTAAAAATGTCACTTTGAAAATATTAGAGATTTCAATGCCTTGATTTCATTTAATCATCTACTCTGTACATCCCAAATCACAAAATAATTTAAGATTAGATTGTGCATAGAATAAAACTCAATAATAATATTATACAATTTTATATTTTTAAAATAAAAATATGAACTTTCAAAAAATATATTTTATTTAATATTATTTTAAATCTACAATCATTTTAATTAAAAGATAATATATAAAAGCATTATTAATGAATTTTTTTTGGTTAAATTATTTTATATTTTGAAACAACGTTATTGTTTTAAAGTTGTCTTATAATTTGATACAGAGTAAATGAGAAGTGTGATTTAATTAATTGTTTTTAATCAATCGGATTAATATTCAAACCTCAAAATGATAGCAACTAAATTTATAAACTTAAATAAAATCTCATATCAGTTTAGACTTGAGATGAACAACAGAAACTTAATGGAGAAGCATATCAGAATTCAATGAGTTAATGAGTTCGTACGACGAGACGTCGAAAACATTCTCATGGTTTTCAATGTGGTGTCAAGTACAAGACGACTCAATGGACTTAAATTTGTAATTTTGTAATTATTTATAGACTCTATTTATATATTAATTATAATAATGACAACATATTTTTATATATATATATATATATTATAATTCCATTGTATCTCTTAAACTTTAAAACTTGTTTAAATAGATCACTTTATTTGAATTTAATTATCATAATCGCGTCACATTTTTAATATTTACAGATTACAGAAGATAGATGAGGATGGAGGTGATGGAAATATGAATTGAATCGTGGCTCCATCTACAGTATTATATAATTAATCAATCCAAATTAAAAAAAAAAATATATAAAATATATCCTTCCCGGCTTCATTTTCCAATCTGGTTCCTCCAAGTAATTAGTCCGCTTTCTTTCCAAGAAAAGTAATTAGCCCACTGTCACACAAATTAAGAATCCGATAACGTTCGCGTTGATACGTGACCCAACGCCATGTTTGATTATTGAGGTATCTCAGGAACCAGGAGAACTGATCTCAACTCTCTGCTCGATTCATCCCCGAAACCGCGCCTGGCTAGCTTTATCTCTTGCAATAATCTGAGGAAAGCTGAGAATCTTTCTCAGCTTTTAACAATTCAGGTGGGCCCCACGTTTGTTTTATGCTTTGCGTTTTCAACGTCTTTATTGGTCTGTAGTTGATGGCACTGAGTCGCCCATGATTTGGAGTGTTCTTGATCCTTAATATACTTCGTTTCTGCTCTGTAGCTCCTACTGATTAATCGAACAGCATGGCTACGGCGAGCAGTGTGGTCTGCTTCTATTTCGTTCTGGTTAACATTTTCTTAACCTTTCGGCTAACTCAACCAGCTCCTGAAGGTGCTCTCGTAACCGAGATTCCTGGATTCAGTGGCACTATACCTTCCAAGCACTATGCCGGGTATCCTTTAGTCTGTCTCCTAACAATATATGCGCTTTAACTTTGTTTTCGTTGACCAACGGAGAACTTTTTTGTGTCTCATTTTGGGATGTTGAAGTTATGTGACGGTCGATGAAAGTCATGGGAGGAGCCTGTATTACTATTTCGTTGAATCAGAAAGCAATCCATCTCAGGATCCTGTGGTTTTATGGCTTAACGGTGGACCTGGATGCTCTAGTTTCGATGCCTTCGTATACGAGCATGGTAATGATTCAGCTCGGAAATGATCGGCATTTCATAAACCATTGTTAGTGTGTTTTCCTTCTTGTTTTTTTTTTTTTTGGGGGGGGGTGTTATCTGAAGGAACTTTTTTATCAGTCTCTATCTAAATCCGGATGCCAAATGAATTCATTCCTGAATTCGCGAGTATTTTCTAGTTCTAATATGGCTTTTGACCAATTGACCCCGATATTTGTTAGCTAGATTGAAGAGTTTAAACGTGCTTTGACACTTTACCGTACTCCTGGCCTTCTTCAACAACTAAATATGGTTATTACCCTACTTTCTTTTGTGCACATCCATCAGAAATCAAAACCACAAATCAGCAGCAAATAGTTCTGTTGTTTCCGTGCATTCTGGACCTATTCTTCTTCTTTTTTATTATTATTATAAAAAATAGAATGATATGCTTGATTTGTTATTGTTAATTTGAAATTTGACTTATTCGCGGTACATCTCAGGTCCTTTCAATTTTCAAAAGGCCAAAACCCAGGAATCCTTGCCCACATTGCACCTCAATCCATACAGCTGGTCGAAGGTCTAAACATTTTTCCCTTTTGTTTGATTCGGGCTTATGTTTGAAAGAGAAGGAAATTTAATTTGTTTTGCTTGGAGATATTTCAGGATGAGTGTATAACTCTCTTCCTTTCTCTCAGTCATACTGATCTGCGCATTCTATGTTTGCTTTGCATTATAGGTCTCCAACATTATATATTTGGATTCTCCTGCTGGAGTGGGGTTTTCTTTCTCAAAGAATGAATCTGATTACACAACTGGAGACATAAAGACTGCTGCAGACACTCACACCTTCCTCCTTAAGGTATCTAGTGAAAAAAGTGGGGGAATTTTGACAATACAATATCTGAATCAGTAGTTCTGTATGCTTTCCGGAGTGTTTACATTTCTGCCTTGATCTTGAACAAACCAGTGGTTTGAACTCTATCCTGAGTTCCTTTCTAACCCATTCTTCATCGCTGGAGAGTCGTATGCTGGAATTTATGTACCTACACTAGCTTATGAAGTAATGAAAGGTAACAATTGTTCTCATGAATTTCCTGTTTTAACATAAGTTAGGATCACAATTAAGGTTCCATTTGTTATCTTTCATAGGAATTGATGCTGGTGCAAAGCCCAACCTGAATTTCAAGGTCTTTATCTTTAGGTTAATCTCTTGTTTTCAAGCTTGTAGCTGCAAACTCAGGTCTTCATTTGCAGGGATATTTGGTTGGAAACGGCTGTACAGATGATGAATTTGATGGAAATGCTCTTGTTCCATTTGCGCATGGGATGGGTCTTATCTCGGATGAATTGTATGAGGTGAAAGTACAACCCACCAATCATTGCAAATTCACTCAGCAGCTTATCATAATTATCTTCTTAACAAATTTCTGATATGATTTTATGTCACATTGTCATGGAATATTAATAACTTTGGGCTGTCTTCTATTTTCAGGCAATTCAAGCGTTTTCCTATAACTTTTTGTGCACTTTCACGCTAGGACAGTGTCACCTAAACAGGCGTACATGTCTGAATATAAATGTTGTTTCCAGGGGTTTGATTTCATCTTACATAAAATTTGAAATTAATAATGTGGTTTTATTGAATTGATTGATGACGTCTCCTGGTCAATCTACTTGTGCCATCAAACTGTTTCTATTGCCTAGATTGAATTTTCTTATTTAAATATTGTTACTGAAAATCAATCTCAGCTTTTCATTTACCAATTTATGTCTTGAGTCAAGGTGGTCCATGACATGTTATTCGAGCCTCTATATCCAAGTAATTGTGAGTTTGGTCTTTGCCATCCTTATTTCCTTAATTAAAATTAAATTTTAACAAAATGTATATTGAACTTGTGCTTTGTTCAGATGGATGCTCAAAGGTCATATGTGGATTACATGTTCGAGATATTAGTAAAAACCAATCCTCGGCCATCCCATGATATATTACCTTGACTTGAATTGGTCCTTGACAAATATGAATGATTTGATAGAACTGCCACACAAAATTATGTCTTCACAGTCTTTTTGTTTACAAATTCGCTGAAATTGTATTGTTTCCCGAGCATATTTCATATAATTAATGGTACATAACTACATGTGCAGGAGGTTAGAGTTGAATGCAATGGGAATTTCTATAATCCATTGAATGAAAATTGTGCAAGCAAGTTAGCAAAAGTTGATCAGGTAATCTAACTGTATAATACCGTTGCGGATGGAAATGAACCAAGATGAATTAGGTTCTTATCAGTGATTCTTGCTATTGTAGGAGATTGATGGGCTAAACATATATGACATTCTGGAACCATGCTATCATTGGCCAGAGACAGAGCAGACTAAACCAACCTATATTAGGTTGCCATCCAGTTTCAGGCAGTTAGGTGAGACTGAGAGACCTCTACCTGTGAGAAAAAGGATGTTTGGTCGTGCTTGGCCCCTTAGAGCTCCTGTGAGAGATGGAATTGTACCAACTTGGCCGCAACTTAGCAATAGCCACAATGTTCCATGCACTGTAGGTTGCTTTGTTATTATGTTTCACCATTTTATAGTTACTTCCCTAGTGTCAATTGATTTTCATCTCTAGATATGGATTTGTTTTTTGGGGTGGTGTCTCTGGATTTGATATCTATTTGTTCACACTTCAAGACTACTGATCGATGCAGTGAAAAAAGCTAATAATTTGGTAATAACTTTTAAGGTGTTAAAGCAAGTTAAATATATTTAGCATCTATTAGTCTCCTCTCACTTTCTAAAGCATTCTTTCTCGAGTCTCTTCCATGAGATGAGGAAATCAGAGACCTGAGATAGAGGATCTGCTCAAATATTAATAGAATTTTGGCTCCCGAAGGCATGCTATTTATTCTCTATGTTGCTCTGGACCTCATTGATTCATGATGTCTGTTCATCAATGTTGGTGTTCCCATGAGATATCTGACCCTTGACCAAGAATGATATGACATATTCCACTAATACTGATTTATGTCCTCTGAAAACTAATTTTAAGTTTCTACTGGTGGTGCTTCACTTTTGGTTATAACTTGAAGTTTATGGTCTACTGATATTAAAGCTATTTTTTGGTTACACATCTTTTATCCTTTTCAGATTTGCTGCTTCAGGAGTCCAATCTTTATTTTCTCTGTTTTCTTGTATCATATCTTCTATTATCATTATGTGATAATGTGATATTATATACTTGATATGATCGCCATGAAGTTCATTGTTGATATTATGGTAATGCCTGTATCTTGGGATGTTTAATAAGCAGCAAATTCTAATATTATCTTCAGGATGACGAGGTTGCAAACTCATGGTTGAACAACGACAGAGTCAGGAAAGCAATTCACACTGCAGAGGTGAGGTTTCCAAGTATCCCCACCTGTGAAACGAAAACACTGGTTTGTGAGCCAACCCTCGATTGAAGTGCATTAACCAAAGGGTATTTGGTCCAATTCTTGTTGGTTAGCCTTTGTTGATTGCTACCCACCACTTACAGGGCATTTTAGTTTGGAGTTGGGGCAACCTATCTAACTTCTAACTCTTGTCTCCCCAAAAAATAACGCTGATTTGTGATATGACAGAAATCTGACGTCAGTCTTTGGGATTTATGCACGGACAATATTTTATATTACCATGATGCTGGGAGCATGATGAAGTTCCACAAGAACCTGACATCCAGAGGATATCGAGCACTTATATACAGGTACATTTTTAGGTTAAAATCATTGATACTTGAAGTCTTGAACTTAATTAGTATCTCCATTCTATGAGTTCAGCAGATGACTTTCCTGGGGGACTTCCCTAATGGATTTACTGAAGGGCTTCGAAAGCTTATTTATTGTTTTACTTCTTTTGATAATTTGATTCATGCTTTGGGATGAATACTTACTGAAACATTGCCCTTATAATGAGCTAGTGACACTCATATCTTTTAATTTGGGCGTACTTCAAATAACTACTTAATCTCATAAAATCCTCCTTAATACTTGACTAGTATTTACTCCTATCATCCTTCTCCGGGTATTTTTCATGAAACTAGAAATTCATCAATAGTCCCATTACTCAGACATGCTTTTAAAACTCAAGTTCTTTGCGCAACAGTCTGTGGCTATAAGGATCACCATTATCGAAAATGATCTGCAAGCTTCTTGTTATTTATCTTCTCTTTTTGGTGCGTTCATGGATTAATTATCATAAATTCATGTTTTTGGCAGCGGGGATCATGATATGTGTGTTCCATTCACTGGAAGTCAAGCATGGACTAGGTCAATGGGATACAAAGTTGTCGATGAATGGAGGCCGTGGATAGTCAATAATCAAGTTGCTGGGTATTTATAGCTCTGTTTCCTTCTTATCTTATTTTACTGAATGAATTTTCAAATAAATAACCCAGGAAATAAAAGTAAATTTGTTTACAATTTAGTCCTCTGCTTCGCATACTATCAGCACTTTATCAGAAGATTCGATCCAGTTTATGCGTTTTCTCATACTGCAATAAGAATCTTGACCTGATATTCATTTTAACTTCCTGTATTTATTGCAGCTATATACAAGGATATGATAAAAATCTCACATTTATGACCATAAAGGTTTGGACCCCAGAAAGTCTGAGCAAATTACTTCAAGGATCACTTGATCTTCTGTGTTAACTGTTGATTTTTCTTTGGTAATTGTGCAGGGAGCTGGACACACTGTTCCAGAATATAAGCCTCAAGAGTCATTGTATTTCTATAAACGCTTTCTGGATGGCTTGCCAATGTAGAAAGAGAGACAAAACAGAGGTCAAACTGATTTGGACTTCTGTGTGTACTTCAATAACTTGTTCCTAGCATTTGCAGGCTTGCAATCGTATCTGTTTTATGTGAATAGTCAATGTCTTTTAGAGTATTTGCAAAATTGTTATTGTTATCATATATAATTACTAGCATTCAAACTTCTGAGGATTAAAAGCACTTAAATTAATAATAAACTACAGTTATGTAATGGGGTGACCATATTTTACTATGTTTGCATGTATCTATGTAATGTAATAGTATAACACTTGCCTGTGCTTCATAAGAGTCAATAGTAAAAGGAAGTTCTTGTTGTAGAGGTTTGAAAAGTTAGAAAAGTGATATTTTAGAACATGTTTCATATTGCATAACTAATGTACTGTTATTCCCCCCCCCCCCCCCTTGAAGTAATACGATCTTTTGTGTCAAAACTCAAAGTGGGGAAACTAAGATCAGTGAAAAATCTATGTCCATGTATTATTAAAACACATTTATAAACGTAACAAAAAAACACATTTATAAAAATATTGATGGTCAAGGATATTAAACATAAAATTTTCTCGCGGATTACGAAGTTAAATTACTAGTTTATTACTGAAAATTATCATTAACATTTTCTAGTTATTAATTTTTTTTCAAATGTTACGTAAGTATCAAGTTGGGAGGTTTAATTGAAAAAAAATTAAAGGAGTTATTTGTGATAAAAAGATACCTAATAAATTTAAAAGGAATTTTTATCGTGCTGCTATCAGACTAGTTATATTATATGATAGTGAATATTGAGTTTTAAAGAAATAGCGAGAGCATAAAGTTTGTTATTCATAAAGTTGCAGCAGAAGATTTGATAATGTTGAGATGGATGTACAAACATACATGTAAAAATAAAATTTAAAATGTGTATATACAAGAAAAAGTGAGCTTAGCACTTATTGTGTAGAGATAGAAAAATAGGCGAATTTGGCCCTTTAGGGCCTAGCCCTTGAATTCCCAAATTCTAATTGAATCTTAAGATTTGACCCTTATTGAAAGGGCTTAAAATCGGGCTCGAAATCTTGATTTTGAAAAAGATTAATATTATAACTTAATGTTGTTCTTTTTAAAAAATAATTTAATTCAATATTATAATATTTAATATTATACTTTAACTTTAAAATTCAATATAAACTAAATCAAGGTTTCACATCATCTAGAAAATAAATAAAATATCTAAGTCTAAATACATGTTAGTTGATGCCATCATAATTCATAATAAAGTTCCAAAAACAAAATAAATGAGGCATATTCATATAATCCTTATAGAATAAGATGAGTGATCAAAATTTTCAAACCAAATTGAAATATTAAAAGCAAGCATCAAATTGAAATCTCAGACATCTATGGTCTAAAAAAAGGGTCTATGTCGAAAGGGGAATTACTTGAAAGTAAGAGCCAAAAAGCCAAAACAATAAAATGCCGAGAGGGAGATACCGAGTTGAGAGACGTTAAGTTAAGAGACAAGAGGGAAGAGGTGAGTTTAGAGATGGAGAGGGCTAAAGGACGAGCAGATTGGCGAGCGGGAGAGGTGAGACAGCTATAGGAAAGGAGAGGGTGAGAGAGAAAGGGTAAGTCAAGAGATCAAGAGAGTTAGAGAACTTGAAATAATTGAATGTTTAGGGTCTCTTCTCATTTGCTTAACGATGCGTTCCAAGGTAAAAGGGAAAAAATAGAACAGGACTTGGAGGGCTGCTCAAATACGAGCCCTTTTTTTTAGGGCTTATTAGAATCGGGCTCAAAAATCTAGTTATCCTAAAAATCCCCTATTTTTTAAGCTCTCAACCCTTATTTAAATATGGCTTCTAGGCTCAACCTTTATTTTCAAATCTAGGAAAATGGTAAAATCATTTGAAATGGTTTGGACATATACAAAGAAGACCGTGAAAGGCACCAATAAGGAAAGTGATATATATAATTTTGAACCCTATTAAGAGGGATAGAAGAAGGTTAAAAAGAATACTTTTCAAAGTTGTTGACCAAAAGTTTTTAATAAATAATATTTCTAAAAGCTTAGTAAATGATAAAACACAATGTCATCGTACAATTTATATGACCGACCCCATTTAATAAGATAAAAACTTGTTATTATTGTTGTTGTTATAAAAGTATCAATGGAGAATGTTGAAGAAAATCTCTAGAAGAATTTAATATCTAACATGATTTTGAATAAGTAAATATTAACAAATTGACAAATGAAGTTATTATTTTATTAAGCATCTAATTTATCTAGGATTCTTGTCAAATATTAATTTTTTTTCAAGGCTTCTTCATTGATATTCTCCAAAATATCAATATCATTTTATCACATGTGACATCACTCACAAATACTGTTATTTATTTTTCATATTTCTAAATCACAAAGTAATGCTCTGGTAAAAATCACAAAATAATGCATTTAATTTCATTACAATATCAATATCAACATCAAATATAAGAGCTTTTAACAAGCACAGTATTTATAAGTTGTAATAATGCATGTCTTTGCTTAGAATCTGTATAATGCACGTGTAGTTTTTACTTACTTCAAGACTTTTAACTGTCAATAATGTAATTATCAATGTCATTATCAGTCCTTAAGAAGATTAAAATTGCCAATAAATTTTCTAATGTTTGATTCTGTAATGAAGATAATCAAGATGTCAATTATATTGTATTTCAACAATTACATGTTAGCTTAAGGGTCATTTTTGTTTTTGAACTGTATATAAAAAGTCATAAATATCCCTAAACTCAATAACGGGTCAATTATATTCCTCAATTTTAAAGATTCTCTTCCTCATCATCCTGCAGTTTTCTCATCGTTAGTGAACCCCATATAATTTTTTAATATTTTTATTATAAAACATTTGAGTTGAGAGGCAAAAATGACTCTTAACTTGATAAAAATATTAACAAAATAGTAGGACCTTATGATGACCAACGAACGTTGAGTTGAGTATTTTAATGTCGGGGTAATGATGGAGGGAATCTTTGAAGTTAAAAAATAAAATTGACTCATAATTGAGTTTAGAATATTTATAACATTTTGTGCATAATTTAAAATTAAAATAACCCTTAACCCTCACATGTCAAAGATATATAATTCAAAGAATTATATAAATGGCCACTTACATTGTTGGAAACTCATAATCATGCCACACTTTCATTGAAAATTTGATATTTAGGATACAATAAATTCTGCGACTTTTTTCCCTTGAAAAGATACTAAAATAATTTTTTTCTCATCAACTTCAAATCATACCGTAAAAAACCTCTAAGCTTTTAAAACTTAGGATAAATTAATTTATTAGCTTAAAAACTCTTGTGCCCAAAAAATATGGATCAATTTTTTAAAACTTGAAAGTATAGTTAGTTCACATTGATATACAAAAGTTTATTATTGATATATAAAAAATTATCATTAAAATTTTGAAAATTTACAAGAGATTTATCATTAATATAAAATGATATATCATTAATAAATATAATAAATTGATCATAATGTAAAATATAATAAATGTTATGTTATTTGTTTAGTTTGATCCTATAATATGAGCTATGCTTGACACATGCATAGTTATACACATAACATTTAAATAATTATTATGTTTAATTCATTGCATTTTTTTAAATAAAATCGATTGAATTATAATGAATTTATAAGTAAAAATTAATTACATCAATTTACTCCAATAAATTTAATATTTAAAGAATTCATCATTAAGTTATAAGTTTTTAATATATTTTTTGTACTTAACATGACAAATTTTTTTAGATTAAATTAAACCAATAAATTTGCAAATTTTTCCATACAAAAAATTGCCAGTTGGCAACACCCATCCATTGCTTGACGAGGTTAGAGTCACAAGCCCATGGACAAAAAAAAAAAATGTAAGCTCTATTCTGAAACAAAAGAAAAATGATACCATGTTTTTTATTTTAAAGAATAAAAAAATAAAACTATTTTTTAAATATTTCGAAATTATTATTTTTTTATAACAAAACAAAAACATAAAAAGGGCCTGTTTTTTATTTTTTTTATTTTAAGAACATGTCACATCAGTTAATAATAAAGCAAAAAATGAGGACCGACCCGAATTTCCCAAGGTAGATGGGATTATGGTCCATGGACCTTGAACCCGCAATAGTTTCTGCTTCCATGTCTCTGTTGTTGCAGGGGCGTTTTCTCTGCACCAAGGTGCACAAGAAATGGAAGGTGAAGCAGGTAACGAAGTCCAACTTCCAGGAATCGTTGAGGGAGTTAAAGACTCATATCCCAAACTCCGACTTCGTAGCAGTATCCATGGTGAAGACAGGCTCTTTCTCGGCTTCGTGGCACCGTGTGCTTCCCTTTGACACGGCGGAAACCGCCTACTGCAAGGCCAAGCACTCCGCTGAGCGGTTTCAGCTTCTTCAGTTTGCTGTTTGTCCATTTTCAATCGCCGAATCCAATAAGTTAATCGCTAACCCGTGGGTACCTCGCGGCCCCTTCTCATTTGCAAGCTGTAGAGGAAATTTTCATTCTTGTCCTGGCAAATGGAGCATTTCAGTTTCTCATCGTAAATGATTTCTGTCAATTTGATCCATCCATTATTATAATGATGCCTCACTTAGCATATTTGATGGCTAGGAGTAATTGAGTTAAACAATGAGAGTGCCATTGCCGTAAGTTTCCATGTGAATAACTTGTTATCTTTCAACAAATTAGAGATTAAATTGAAAAAAATTATTTATAGTGGACAAAACTCAAAATGCACTTATCTATCAATTGTGATTATCGATTTTCGTTTTTGACTGATGCTTGTAAAATGAAGGGGGACGAAAAAGTGACCCAAGGGATGTGGTGCAGGTACAATTTTCTTTTGTTTCCTAGAGATGAACTGAAATTGGGGATGCCTTCGTACAGTTTTTCATGCCAAACATCGTATCTGACTTCTATGGCTCGTGAAGGTTTCGATTTCAATGCTTGCATTTATGATGGTGATGTTTCTTAATGTCCTGATTTTATTTTCCTTACAAATTCTTATGGTCTGTAAGTAGCTATTCTTATTAAGGGAAATTGTAACGGCACAATGACTGAGGGTTTTGGGATTTGCCGAGGTTTTAGCTGGGAATGTTCTATAAAACAAGCAAATGCTAGTGTGGTTTTACATTAAAAAAAAAATTGTGAGTATGGTTTTGGAGTCTTCTGCTTCCCTTTGTGGGTGTATAAAAATTATGACAATAGATGAAAAAAATTTCCAGCTGCTCAGGATCCGTTGATATTGAGTGTTTTTGCCTGTTTATTTTGGTATCTTGTTCTAAGCAAGATAACTGGAGCACTCGACTTATATATATATATATATATATATATATACTTTAGATGTCCTTTGAAACCTGTACCCCACTTGATTCATGGTTTGGTCTAGTAAGTTTTGCAAACTTGTTATGCAATTCCAAGTGGTTCTGTTGCATAAGTGTTATTTGTTTGCTTGGATAAAGCCTGCTGCTGAATTATTGAGCCTTGCTATTGATCATCCGTTTCGCCAGTCTTTTTTTCAACACTATTCTTTCTCATATGCTGAGCATACAAGGATCTCTTCCCTTTTCGGTTCTACCGTTCTAAGATGATACTGTGGAAAGGAAATTAACAATGAAGCTATGTTAATCTCCATTCTTCCTTCAGAGTCAGCAAGACTAAGAACCAAATTGAAAATTTTCTTCTGCCTTAGATGTCGTAAAGCTTGATTAAATTCTCTAGCCATTTTTTTCTTTAATACAAGTTGAATGTATACCTAAAAATAAAATTAGATTGAAAGCATAAACAATTTGTGCCACCTATATATCAATTTATTGTTGCTTTATTTCCTCTAATATTAGGATTTGAGGACTTGTTTGTCCCCTGGACAGATATTGTTTTCATCTGCATTCCAGCAATATGTGTGGACCAATTAAATATGTAGATGTGGATAGCTAATTCCATGCTATGTGAAAAGGAAATCTACAACTCTGCTACTTATTTTGAGACCTTGATGGGTTTTCTTAACATTGTGTGACAGGTATTTCATATCTATCTAGAGTACAAGAGTTTAAAGCTAAAATGCAGATAGGGAATTACATATCTAATCTTAATGTGAACAAATCTTCTTCAACCTCCGCTACTGCTGATATTGTTTTTGTTGAAAGGATTAAATCACGGATTAAACACTGGATAAAATGTTGTGAAAAGGGTGGCAAAAGCACGAGCACAGATGGTAAGAACAACTTCAGCAGATTCTTTTTAATTAAGGCTGTTCTTCGAACTTTCTTTTATTCTTTAACCATGCAGATGCTCTCCTCACGTCCCTTAGGAAAATTGTGATGGGAAGTGAAATGTTCGGTTCAAGACCTTGCCTCACAATAAATGTTTGCAGTGATAGACAAGTGCAGTTAATTCTTGAGGTAGAATGAAGCAACAGAGTCTCAATTTTTAAGTGATATGCGAGCTTGATCACCCCTACCTCATATAACTAATCAAAAATTTTTTTTTTTTTATCTTCTTGGCTTTGGGGTTGGGCTTGTTGGATTTTGGGATGGCTGTAGATGCTGTTAAACGTTCACAATGTTGTTCCTATGCTAGTACCTGCAAAGGGTAATACTACTCAGGCTATCTGTCTTGTTTTGACGACCTCAAAAGAGGATAAGGATTTGTTTGAGGTGATGATAAAATTTTAATCTCTGCTAGTTACCAAACAACTTATCCCTTCTCTTGAAATAATCGTGACATTACATGGCAGAGGGAGCGTCAAAAATTAGAAGAGGAGGAGAACAAGAAACTTTGTGGGTTTCGGGAGGTGATCGAGTTGATTTCTGCTTCACAGAAACCTGTTCTCTCCTACAACTGCCTTGATGGTGTATCTCCTAGATGGAAAATTGCCAATTTAGTTCTTTTTTGTTGTTGACCTGGTCTACATCCATCTGCTAACTTTTATTGATCATTGATATTTGCAGATTGTACATTTATCCATTCAAAATTCATTGCTTCCCTTCCTCCTGAAGTGAATGAATTTATATGCTCTTTTCGCTCAGATTTCCCCCAGGTAATTGATGTGTATCACATGGTGAAGAAATTTGGAGCCATGAGAAATGTGACCAACATAACTGCTGCTTTATTGTACTTGAAGAATCATTTCTTGGCATCTGTTGATGTGGAAATTCCTGACCAAGGTAAGCCACTCTTATCTTAATATTTGCACCTGTCCTCAATCCACATACCATTTCTACCGCTGTCAGAACAGTTATTCCTGCGTGTTGTGTTTATGTCATCAATCATTGCATGCATAGCTAGCTTCCCAAAATTTGAGAGCCATGGTGAAATCTCCCCCCCCCCTTTTCTTTTGGTTGTTTTCATTTTCTTCTCTTTTTCCCCCTGTTTAGGATTCCATTCAGCTACTATAAACGAAGACAAGATTGATGGACTCGATTCATTAAGGATATGCTATTTGTTTATGAAGATATGCTCTATATTGAAAATTTCCCCATGTGTTAGTGAATCCGGCAATAAGCATTTGGCCCCTGAGCTTCAAGACTTCACCAACATATTCCATCCATGGACAACCGACTCCAAAGAGTTGGTTGATGAGGACATAAGCATCTGGGCAAATAACACAAGAAAGGTTAATTGTGAACATGTAATTTTCTTATGGGGAGTTCAGTTCGGGATGACGGCGAGCACGCTGAAGAATCTACTTCAGGAATCCCATGACATCCTTCCTGAAGAGTTTGATGTTAAACTGGTGGCTAAAGATTGTGCCATTGTTGTTTTCTGGCAACCTGGGTTGTCAAAAGCTTTTCTTAATGCAGTGAAGAGTGAACAAATTAGTGGATTGTTGAGGGAATTTGTATCCAATGGCCTCAGGGTGGCCAGTTATGACACTTACAGGACAGTGTGTAGGTTAGGTTTGTGGGAGGCAGATCTCTCGGAGTCATTAGACAGAGCTGTGGAGAAGTCTGGTAGAGAGTTTTCCAATATTTACTGCCATACTGATAATGTAATTAACTTTGATATTCTTTGATGGTTGCTTGATCCTCTTGTGTGAGGAGCTGAGTTCTTTCAAGTCGTTAATTAGCTTCAACGAAATTTCAACGTTGGGCAATTTCGAGGAAGCTTTTTAAAATCGATCAAGTGACTTGTTGAGTCATTTCTTCTACCATTATAAGACAATTTTTAAAAAAAAACAGTCAAAATATAAAATAATTTGATAAAACTAAGATTTCATTGAAGTGAGGAGAACATTGAAATGATATTATTAAATAATAATATCTTTTCACTGTAAGTCAAAAGAATTATAGGTTTTATTTCGCTTGTTTTTATAGATTTTGAATTTCTTTTTTTTCCCCTTTGTTTTGGCTTTTCATTTGTAACACTGAAATATTTTATTTTATTTTTTTTATTTTGAAGTCATTGGTTGTTGTTGTTTTTTGTTAATGTTAATATTGGAGTTTATTTTGTGTTCGTGCGGTCAAACATAGTCTTTATTTTTTTAGTTGATCTTTGTTGCTTTGTATTTTGTAATTGATCTGCTTCTATTTTTTTTCCTTATTTTAACATTTAGTTTAACACAATTAATTACAAGTCAAATAATTTAATACTGTTAGTGTTTATCGTTATCTTGCTCATATTTAAAAATAAAGAAACTTATATTATAGGCAAAAAAATTATAAAAACTTAGAACAATAAAAATAAAACACTTCCTCCATCTTTATTATACAGGTGTTTTTAATTGAATTTCACATATCAATAAAAGTTTGTTATTTAGTTGAATTCACATAAAAATATAAAGATTTTTTAATTTTATTTTCAATAATATCATAATTAATACCATGATGGTGGTAGGAAAAACATACATTTAATGATTTATTTTATATTTAAAGATAAAGGTAAAATTATTTAATTATTCAAAAAAATATTGTCACCTCTTACATTTAGAGATAAAATAAATTTTTAAAAAATATTTTATACATAGAAATAGAGGGAGTATAAGGATCAATAATAAATAATGATTGAATTATATTATAGGATCACATAATTATATTTTTGAAGAATTTAACGGTGCCAAGTTACACCTATGAAGTGTTAGCCTCGAATTCATTCTTGCATTTATGAGCCTCTCTGTAAGTTCATAAATGGATCTTATTGTTGACCAACCAATATTTTTCTTTAAAAAACATTCTGAAACTTCTTACAAAATGAATACTTTTTATGATCTATTATTTCTTTTCTTTTGTTTGTTTCTTAATTAAGAAGTGCACCTCCTGAAAACTTTCATCATCGGTCACCTCTTGTGATGAAAGTGAATGATGATTAAAAGTACAAAAACTCATATCTAATTTATAAAATATTTTAACAAAGTGATCGGCTCAAGTTAGAGTATCTACTAACATAATAAATAAGTATACTCCAATTTTTGTGAAACAAAAACTAAATATCCTCTATTACATGCTGAAATGGGTGTGACAGTTCACACCTTTTAGTAATCAAACTCTATAATCTATTGTTATATCATACTTTCTACAATGCTTAATATAATATTTTTTTTGCCTGAGAATTTAAAATTCTTATGTATGTTTTTTAATATGAAAAATGAAAAGTATTTACGTCTTTAAACTTACACACTTAATGTATTTATATTGAACAATTAATCATATTAATTTTTTAAAAATATAAAACTATCTATAATTTTTTTTTGGAATATCAAATTTTATGTTATTTGTAACTTTTTTCAACACTAAAAGTTTTATATAACAAATTACATATCATAAAATTTATATCATTTTTAGTAAGTATATAAGTTTAAAAGTATCTTTTATTATATATTATCTAAATAATTTTTAATTTACCAAACCAATTTTTTTAAAAAAATGTGTTTAAATATAAATTTTGTAATGATAATTAATTTTTACTAAATCAAATTTTGTCCAATCGATTTTTAATAAATTAATAAATTAAAAACCAAATACACGTATATTATGCAATGGATTCTGCAAAAAGCTGCACTTGAAAAGGACAGATTATCCATTGCTATGTTTGTTGCATTTTGGATTTTTTTTGACTTTTTAAATTAAATAAAAACAAATAATTAATTTAATTTAAAAAAGTTCATTCATATCAAATAAATCTATGATAGTTATTATTATTATTATCAAGATATTAAAAATTGGATCGGTTATTAAATGGATTAAGAAGCTTGTTCAAGAGATAATGATTAAAATTATAATTAAATTGTGATCAAATTAATTATAAATAAAATATTTTATTAAATCAATTAAAATATTAAAAATCATGCCAAAATCTTCATACTACAATCATTACTTTACATTTTATTTCTGAACATTACATTTCATTACATATGAATCATTGAAACCAACATGCCATAAGTCTATTATGCCATTAATTTAAACAACGTAGGATATCAAAACTTGATGTTGAGATAAAAAATAAAAAAAAAGTGCTGATTGGTACACTTATCATATTTCTCACACCACATTTTAAATATCAAAACTTTTGATAATCTATCTTTAAGATAAAAAATATATATATTAAACTTTAGCATGACTTAATTTTTTTGTTGTCGTCTTGTATAATCTTTCCGTGGCCTTTGATTTTCAAAAGAAAACATCAAGTTGATATTGATTTAGGGGTTAATTGTGAAGCCTCTTACCAATACACCAGATCCTATAATCACTATACTTCTTTTGATTAATTAAATATTGCAGAGTTAGTTGTGAATTACCAGAAGCGATATTAAAGAGAATTCGGTGCATTTTATATAATGCCATTGGATTCAACCAAACAAGCCACGACTGTGATGTTTGACGTGGTTTATGTAAAGTTTTTTTTTTTTTTTCCCCTCATTGGTCCTAGTTTTATTAAAGACACTTGTTCCATACATATTAAATGTAAACATTTTTTTAATTAGAAATTTAAATATTAATTTATTATGATTTCAAATTGTAAGATAATGTTAGAGAAATTTTTTATTCTAAAATATAAAATAATTTAAGAAAAATAAAATTTCTTTAATAATATTTTTTAATATTATGTTGAAGGATAATTGAAATGATTATTTTAAAAAATAAATTAATAAAATACCATATATTTTTTAATAATTAGAGGGAATATTGATAAATTAGTTACTTTTACCAGGTTGGCTGGTTCATGAAAAAATTATCAAGTCTTTCTGGAACAGGCTGAGAAGTGAAGGGGCAGTAATGGTTAACGAATGGCTCTGAGCAGCTTCAAAGGAATTCGGACGCAATTTCTAGGAAGCTTCCTCTGTGACGATGAGTTAATGCAGCGGGCCATCAAAACTTGACGTGGCAGAGTAGAGGTCGACGACCAAGTCAAGCATATAATCATTTTGTGTGGTTGAATAAAAGTATAATATAAAAAGAAAAGGCCAAACCTTTTTTTTTTTTTTTGAAAAAAAGAAAAGCTAATTGTATAATGAGATCTTGTTTTGCTAGTTCTGATCAACTGTTGGGGGCATTAGATGTTTTTTTTAATATTATTGTCAGTCTTCTGTCCTATGCTTATCCTCTGCATAGCTGTCTTTTTTGACCTGTTGTATAGCTGTCTAAATATTGAGTCTTCACCATTTCTTCTCTCTGCTTGTTTCTATTCATCAAACGCCACGCCACTCTCGCCTGTTTCTTCTACTTCTCTCTTTGTGTGACTCCGAAGGATCAGGGATGGCTGAACAAGTCCCATATGGCGTGGCTACAAGTCTCGTCAACACGTTGGCTTCATTAGCCTTCAAAGAGATTGCTTCCATTTATGGGGTCAAGAAAGAGATTGAATGGCTCAAGGAAACTGTTGAAGCCATCAAAGCTGTGCTTGTTGACAGGGGCGGAACCAGGATGAGCATGGTGGAGGGGCCAAGCTCAAATAAAATTTATTTATATATATGATGATTTATTCTTTAATTTTTTAATGTTTAAGATTAAAATTTAATTAATTTTTTTTACAATTTGAAAAAATCATGAGAGAATAATAATTTAAAATTATATCATATTTTTTAAAAAAATTAAAATTAGGTAATATATTTAATTCATGCATATGATAGAAGCACCAAAAAAAAAAAAAACGATATGCTTATGTACTGAAACCAATATTAATCAATAAAATATGCAAATTAAATAATAAAAATGAACTTATTAAAGTAATTACTCAATTTTTATAATAATAATAATTTATTCAAGAATGTTTTTTAACAATCTAGTAAAAAACTAACATATTCCTTATGAATTTTAAATTTCACTTTTTTAATTAATAAAAAATAATATTCATCATATATCAATAATAAAAATATAGTATGCATTTTATGTCTATTTATTTGATAAATAAATAAGAAATTAGAATTATACAAATATGGAAATGAGAGGGTCAGTTTTCAACTTTGTGCATGAATGCATTTGTGAGAGGAAAAAGACTGGGCCACTGAACTTCAGATATAACCCCATCACCCCACAAGTACATGAAATGGCCATGGAGTTGGGGGGGGAGGGGGGCCATGGCCCCCCTCAAGGTGTACGTGGGTCCGTCCCTGCTTGTTGATGCTGACCAAAAGCAGCAGACTGACCAACTCATCCAGCTGTGGATAAGGGGCCTCAAACACGTGCTCTACGAAGCAGACGACTTGCTTGATGAGCTCCACACTCAACATTTGCTGCGACAGAGGGATGGAAAAGAAAAGGGAAAGGGAAAGGTATGCGACTTGTTCTCATGCTCAAACTCCATTGTTTTACGCTACAAAATTGCTGGCAAGATTAGCAAGATTAAAGAGAAATTTAATGCTATTGCTGAACGTGTGTCTAAGCTGAATTTGAATCCAAGGGTTGTTGAAATGAAGCATGAAAAGAGTGATTGGAGGGAAACTAGTTCTCTTGTGCACCAAGAGGATATCGTTGGCAGGGAGGAAGACAAGAAACACGTAATTGATTTATTGTTGACTAATAATAGCAATCAAAATGTTTCCTCGGTTGCTATTGTTGGTATTGGGGGTTTAGGTAAAACCGCCCTTGCTCAATTGGTGTACAATGACGCTGACGTGAGGAGCTTTTTCAGCAAGCGAATGTGGGTGTGTGTTTCTGATGAGTTTGATATCAAAGTGCTCGTTAAAAAGATGCTAGAATCTTTAGCTGACCAGAAAGAGGATGATGGTCAACAATTAGACGGCGACGACAATAAGCGTGATCTGAAGTCTTTTCTCACTAGGAGTGGTGATCATTCATTAGAATCCCTTCAAACTGAGCTTCAAAAAAATTTGAATGGGCAAGGATTTTTGCTTGTTTTAGATGATATCTGGAATGAGGATACCGAAAAGTGGTTGCGTTTCAAAGAGTATTTGAGGTGTGGTGCTAAGCATAGCAAAATCTTGTTGACTACACGCAGTCAAACGGCAGCCGAGAAAATGGAGGTAAAAATGCCACATCTTTTGAAAGGACTGGAAAATGACCAGTCCTGGGCTTTGCTCAAAAGATTGGCATTTAAAGAAGATCAAACCCAAAATCGTGAGTCCATTGGCAAAAAAATTGCAAAAAAATGTGTAGGTGTTCCGTTAGCAATAAGAGTCATGGGAAGCTTGTTGAAATCAAAATCAAAGGAAAGTGACTGGGAAGCTATCTTGGAAGATGACTTTTGGAAGTCATTGAAAGATGATAATTCAATTATGCCAATTTTAAAGTTGAGCTATGATAGTTTGACAATTGAATTAAAACAATGTTTTGCTTATTGTTCTCTATATCCAAAAGATTGGCGTTATAAAAAGGATGAATTGATTGATTTGTGGATGGCACAAGGCTTCCTTGAAAATGGGAAACAATTTCCGGAAGATGTTGGGGAAGAGTATGTTCATATTTTGTTGACGAAGTCATTCTCGCAAGACGTTGAGATGGATAAATTTGGTGAAATAAAATATTTTAAAATGCATGATTTGATGCATGACATGTCCCAGAAAATTGCTGGCTCTGATTATTGCCTAGATGTTGATGAGGGGAGAGAAAATGTTGTAATGTGTCCTATACATGCCACTTTTGGAAAATGTAGCTTTGGTAGCTCACTAAACAGGGTGGATCCAAGTAGATTAAGAACCATTCTGAAACTAGGGGAGGAATATGAAAGGAATCCATGCGATTTATTTGTGTTCAAACGCTTACACAGTCTAGATATTTCAGGGTATAGGATAAGGGATTTGCCTAAATCAATATGTAAAATGAGTCATTTGAGGTATCTTAATCTCTCTCATTGTGGATTGACTTGTTTGCCCAAAGGAATAAGCAACTTAATAAATTTGCAGACGTTGATATTGAACGGGTGTCGTCATCTTAAATTTTCTGGAGAAATTATCACAAAGTTAATAAACTTGCGCCGACTTGATATAAAAGGTTCCAGGGTCTTTGAAGATGGGATGCCGATCGGGTTGGGCAGGATGGCTACTCTGCAACATTTGTCAAATTTTAGAGTGCGTAATGATGATAAGCAGAGAAAGAAGGCGAAATTAAATGAATTGAAAGAACTCAACCTCAGGGGCAAATTAGCCATTGAGAATCTTGGCTTAATAAGGAAAGTGGAGGAGGAGTCCAAGGATGTTAATTTGAGATCAAAGAAAAACCTCATTTCCTTGACCCTTCAATGGGGGAATGAACATGGCAGGAGGAATGCAGATGCAGAGATGAAAAGTGCCGATGCTTTGCAATTATTGGAAAATCTTTGCCCTCATCCAAATTTGAAGGGATTGACAATATGGGGGTACCCAGGGGTATACCCTCCCAGTTGGCTTTTAACATCCACAAATCTTGTTCAATTACGATTCCTTGGTTGCCGAAATTGCCAATACTTGCCAGCATTAGAAGGACTTGTTTCTCTCAAGACTCTACATATAATTGTGACGGATGCATTGGACCACATACGCTACAAAGGGTGTTCCTCATCAACTAACTTCTTCCCGTCTTTGGAGGAATTAAAAATTTGGAGTTGTAGAAATTTGAGGGGATGGCAAAGGGAGGCGGATGGCCATAATACAAGAGATAATGAGAGGCGTCATTCACTGCCTCCATTTCCACGTCTTTCATCTCTAGACATCAGCAATTGCCCAAACTTGAGCTGCATGCCTACTTTTCCAAATCTCGTGAGGCATTTGGAATTATGGGACTATAGCATGAAGCCATTGATAGACACATTAAATGTGAGCTCAACTGGGCCGTCAACATCACATGATTCGGCCCCATCTCTTTTCAAGCTCAAGGATCCTCACCTTTCAGAGATAGACATAGAAGCATTACCAGAGGAATGGATGCGAAATCTCGCCAATTAGAATTCAAGAGGTTAATTCTTAGACTGAGTAATTCAAGAGGTTAATTCTTAGAATTATAAATTAGCTAATTAGACTGAGTGGACGCTTAAGTGGTTGTTTGCCTGTAATTAGTGGGAAATTTTAGAAAAGATGGAATTGATAAACTAAATGTATGAAATTGTGGCATTTGTGGTTCTTTTGTAGGGCGAAGAATTGATAAACGTATCTTTGGCAAAGGAGAATTCAAAAGAGTCATATCACTTAAGGCTGAGGAATCTCCATGATTAAGAGTGAAGAGAGATGATTAAAATTTTTTGAGTGTTGGCATGCTATATTTATCTTTTTGTTTCATTAAATGTATGCTACGAATCTTGTAAGGATTTTTGATATGGTGAAATTTCTTGGATTTGGTCCCGTGGTTTTCCCCCCTCAACATTAGAGGGTTTTCCACATTAAATCTTGTGTCATTTTTACGTTGTTTTATATATTATACAATGGAGGTGGGGAAGCATATTTCACTGTGCTATTTTTGTTTGTCCACTCTAATATTTGGTAAACCGGAGGCTGTTGATTAATAGACAAATTGGTAGTGAACACTATTTACGAGACAATCCAAAATAGAAGAATTGAATTGAAAATTGAGTTTGTCAAACACTAACCTAATAACTAGATGGAAGTTGGAGTAGGGTTGGGAATATGGACCAACCCGGATCATATGAGTTGGCCCATGTGGGTTAAGAAAATATGGCTTGGGTGGGATTCAATTCATTTTATATGAGTTGAAAAAATTTTAACCCAATCTAACCTTTAAAGGTTGGCAGGTTAAATGGGTTCACTTATTAGTTCATTTTATTTTATTGTTTAAAAATACATCTAAATAAAAATGATGATGAGTTTTAATATAATATTCTTTCATATCATGATTCATTCTAAATATATCAAAATGTTAACCTATAATATTTGTATAAAATGTGTGAATTGAGTTAGCCAAATCATGCTTATCTATTTGTCAAAAGTCATGAATTTGCAATATCCCCCCATTTTTTATATTTTTTTAAAAATAATATAGTTAAGTGAGCCAACCTCAACCTATCAGAGTTAACTTATATGATTCATGGGTTATCTAGTCTAGGCTAAGAAAAACATGTTTTTTATTTGGGTTAACTTTTTTTTTTTCAACCCAACCCAACCTATATGATCAATTATTTGAGCCAATTTGTATAATCCGATCCATATTCTTGACTCTGAGTATGCTATCAAAAAATCTAAGGAAAAAAAAAAAAAGCTTGCCAATATTAATTGCATGAGTGAGAAGCTGATGATGAGCTCCATCCAGAAAATATAAAAACCAATATATTGAACAGGAACAAAAGGGAGTTGGAGACCAAGAACAAAATCTATCCAACATAAATCTAATATCCGTACTTCTTCTGGAAAATCTCTAATATGGTCTTTAAAATGGCGTCATCGTCATGCACAGGTTGAGTAATGGGAAGAGAACCAAGAGCTATAGAAATGCCCGTCCAAACTCTGAAGATTATAGAAACCCATATACTTGCTTATATATCTATATACAATACAAAAAATTTACTAATTATACTATTCATAAGACATGAATCATGGTTTGCTTTAAAACTCGGTGCAAAACCTTATGCGTACCCACACTAGTTATTGACTAAAATCTGATTCATACATCTAATAATTTTGTTTGCAAATCTAATATATAACTTTTTCCTTTTGGAAATGTTCCTCCCTCCCCAAAAAAGACATAGTTTCTTCATGTTCTCCTGGCACTAGAATCTAATTATCATGAGATCAATTTAAATGTCATAAGAGCCTCATGCACCAGATCCAGCAAAGAGCATGAGATCTAGTTCTTTTTGTTTTTTGGGTTACCCAAGATATCCCCCACAGCTGTAAGACTAATCCTTTAAAGAATTTAAATACCATTTAAGAGGTTGTCCTCTTTCAAATAATGTTTTTCTATACACATCTTCAGGAATCAAACCTTAAAATAATGCTTAAATGGCCTAAATTGTTACCAGTTGTGCAACATCTAGTAGATCTAGTGCTAAGTTACATTCAAAGACACTCACAATTGAGCATCTTTTATACTGGTCCTTGTTTCCTTGGATACGATGAATCATTCAAAGGGTCAATGGGCCATGGGCCACTAGACTAGAGCCCGGTTGATAGCCCATAAATTTTCTGTTTCAATTGAACTCCCCAATCTCCAATAGGGGGGGAATATCTTATACCATATTTCTTTTAAAATTGCAACACTAAATCTAATAATTTTGCTAAGGATAATGAAATTTTGATTCCTCAAGTTGGCTTCATTTAGTCTCTCAAATTTATTTTTTATCCATTTGATCTCTTATTTTTTTAAGACAATGTAAGGGTGTTTTTCAGACTGAGAGCATGCATGACATTATTTGTTCCTTCTCTCTCTCTCTGCTTTTTTCTTTTTTCCCCTTAACGAGACTTATATATTGCTGTTGAGCGCAAACAGGACACCTATGTGTTTTTGTTTGTGAAATTTGTTTTATGTTTCCTTTTTTTAATAAAAAAAATTGGCCATAGTTTTTATGTGTCAACCATGCTTGTAACAATTAATATACCTAAAATTTTGCACCTGACTTTCAAGACTTAACAAAAATTATTTGAAGTTTAGTCCAGCATCATGGCGAGCAGGCTGAAGATGATCTACTCTGGAAATCCCACGACACCTTTTCCTAGGGACTTTGATGTTAAATTGGATGATATCTATGACTACATTATTCCCCGGGGGGGGGGGGGAACTGCTGCAGTTGTTTTAATCTTCATTTAAGAATTCATTACTAGAATGGCTCCAAGTTTTAAAACTCCACTCCTCTTGCTAATCAACGCTTGGCTGCAGCTGATCATTCTTTCTATAAGACAAGAAGATTGACCTCAGACAGCATGCTCGATCTAGCTCACTGAATCTTCAAAAAATAAAGTACTCCACCGCTACATGGATTGTAACATTTTGAAAACATTCAACGAGGTATTGAATTTCTTTATGCATGTTTACTTGTGTTGGACTCCTTTTTTACCAAAATTAGAAAACAACTTATTCAAGGGAATTCCGTGCCTTTTCTTACTCGGTGATAGTAAATTTATGGTTTTAATTTAAAATTCGAAAGTTTTATAGGAATATTTATTTTCAATTTAAGGAATTATGATCTGTTGATTATTTTATAACTTGGACAGGTATTCAATTTGGATGAAGTAATAAGAGGAAAACTTGGTAGACTCTTGAGATTATCTTCATACCAGCACATATTTATGATCCTTTCTATCAAGGCAAGGTTTCTTCAAACCTGTTGAATGTTGTTGCAGGGAATTAAAAACTCAGACAATTTGGAAAGGATTCTAGTTTTTCAACAAATATGTTAAGCTTATGCTGCAACGAAAATTCCAGGTCAAGATGGCTATTGATCCTGTCATGGTGACTGCATTGTAAGTAAGTTGTTTTCTTATTAAGTTGAAATATGAAAGTCTATTTCGCACAATATGATCTTGTGAAAAATGGGTAACAAATTATACCATCCTGTCTTCTTAATTGATTTTCATTTATTGCTCCATTTCAGAATTGGATGAATGTGTTAAGGAAGCTACATTCCTATTGTGAATTTGAATTCAAATGCAGTGAATTATATCATTGAATGTTCAAGCTTGAAAACTTATATATTTTGAATCAATGTGTCTGATTATATTATCCTTTTGTTTTCCATTTATCCCTTTGCCGATAGTTGAGTCACTGATCTCAAATGTAGCAAAACTTCATTGGGCTCAACAAATTCTTCAGATTTGCGTAAAGTGAAGGCATTGCAGAAGAACTCAAATTTGAAAGATCTTTCTCTTAATATAAGTTCACACAAGAGAACCAATCATTTGCTTTCACAAGATTCAAGCCAAATGACAATACACTCCAGGTTTCACCCTTGATCTTTCCTATAATCAGTATTAAATTATATGATGCATATAAACATTAGGCTTTTTAAACACATACACACACTTGCCTATAATTAGTGGGGAAAATTTAGAGAAGATGGCAATTTATAACTAACAAATATGAACATTGTGGGATTTAATTTGTGTTTTTGTTTTTTCTTTTTGGCAGAGTGAAGAGCTTGCAAATCTTAGGTTTCATATCTTTGGAAAAGAAGTGCAAGGAGTAATATCACTCAAGTTGTGGAATGACCATAAATAAGGTTGAATTTTTATTGATTTAGCACTATGTGAAACAGCCACATCTGATTGTAGTTTTAGACTATATTCATCTTTTTTATTTTTAGCACAAGTTTACTATTAAGAACATTGTAATGACTTCTGATGTAGTGAAAATTTTCAGAAATGGTGCCATGGTTTTTCCCTATTGAGGGGGTTTTCCACGTTAAATATGGTGTCTTTTTCACTTTATATATGTTCTGCATTATATGTTGATCATAGAGGCAGAGATCAATCATGTTTCACTCTGCTTTTTTATTTTTTTTCCAAGTCTGGCATTTGACAAACCATGAGGGCTTGCGGAAAAATTTAATGAAGCATACAACACATTTTGATTAATAGATAAACGAAAAGTAAACATATTTTTTCCCAATGTTTTCTTTGATCTGAAATTTGTTGTGCCTTTTTCTAAAAAAAATTGGGCACAAGTTTCAAACACGCTTTTACTATAAATGTGTGTGTGTCTTACTCAAGGTAAAGTCTATATGTACACAAATAAAGAACTAAAATATTAAATCCTTTCATCATTCACTACCTCCACAAAGAAGTGGATGATCATAGGTTAAAAAAAAACAAGAGAATTACATTGAAATCTCACACATAAAAATTAATTACAACAATGTCCAGTGATAATTGAACTAAGGAGATTGACACTCTAGTGACAACTGTATTAAGAAAATTGACACGTCAATCTCTTTAATTCAGTTGTCACTGGATTTTATTGTAATTAATTTTCATGTGTAGAACCTAGATGTAATTCTCCCAAAAAAACATTACTAGTGTAATGAACCTAATCTAATTAGTTCAAGCAAAAGAAAATTATTGGTCTCATTTTCAGCAAATCTAAGAAACACAGTTCCTAGCAATAACTGATCTTGCAAAAGTAAGAAACACAGTCCTCTCCAATGAGTTGGTTGATGAGAATACAAGTACATGGCAAAAAAAAAAAAAAAGAATTGCGCCTTTAATAATATATGGAGTTTGATGTTAAAGCAGTGAATAAAGATTTTTGCTTGAAAATTTACTTAAAATTTTAGAAACTTAATTAGTATTAATTGTTTTATAAAAGACATATTTATGATCTTTCCTCCTTTTTTTTGACCAACAGATCTTTCATCTGTTTTCAAAATTACAAAAATCTAAAAGAAGGGAAATATTACTCCACTTTCAAAACTTTAGAGGTGACATGTCTTCATATACAAGAGGCAACATTGCATTGCCTCAAATCTTATGGTGAGTAGTGTACTTGGAAAATATTTTAGCAGTAAATCCACACTTTAACCCTATTTTAAAAAATATACGAAATAATTATGTTATTTTTTATTTTTTAATGTCTCTATAAAGCTCGAAATCCAAGTTTATAAATGTTTGAAAGCACTTAGACACACAAACTATAAAACCTTGGTTTTCTATTAAAAAAAATCCAAACATTCTCTTGTTTCCATTAATCAATTTTGTACTCTGAACTCTGTTTTCAAACAAGCTAATTACACTATTTTTATGTATCAATTGTATTTTTTGTTATACTATTATATGTCAAAAATTTGAATAA